GTGTCAACTGCAAAATGGTACAAAACTGTTTTGTTCCCCTTGATCCAATCTACGTCCCCATTGTGTTTCGATCCGTTTTTTTGAGACACCCTGTATAAATAATTTTTTATAAATAATTTTTTCTTTAAGTAATCTTACATTTTTTAACATGTAATATTTAAAAAATTGAGCCTCTGATACAAAATTCTAATGCAAATAACGACTATTCTTGTATATCTCTTAAATTAAAGAAATACTAAAATTTAAATACTGAAAAGTGTTTACACACTGAGCAAAAATTTAATTGTTAACTAGACTAAATGCGTTTATTATAATTGATAGTGATTATCTAGTTTAAGTATTTATATACTTAAACTGGACTTGAATTATGTCATCAAAATCTTGTAATTTAAAACATGTTTGTCTGAATTAAATATTTGCTTGACAACTCGTAATCACATATAAGTTGAATCAATTAAAATTTTTTTTGAAACAGCAACTTTTTTTTCTCAGAGAGCGAGAGTGTAAATATAATATTATAATATTTTTCAATCTTTATATAATTTAAAGATTATATATATTTTAAAATTTATTGTATATTTCATTATTTGTATATTTAAGAATATTTAATAAATATAATATTAATTCATATTTGAAAAATTAAATTAAAAAATGTTTAAAGAATGATCAAAGAAGTGTCATACTCGAAACAAACACAAAGAAACACCCACACAAAGTAGTTTATTTAAGAAATAATAGTGACGAAGATTGAAACGTAATTTCAATTAACTTACACATTTTTGCATAGTCACTGAATACAATAAAATATAACTACAACTAACAGAATAGGAAAACCCATATAAAACTCTTGAATGTAGACAAGAAATACAGTTAAATACTACAAAATTTGGCACGTCCAACTATAAGCTCGAAAGCCGAAAGACCGAAAGAGCGGAGGGAATCGGAAAAAGAGAAAGAAAACGTAATAAATTTTGTCTTTAATATGTTACTGTAAAGAATTGTTTTTGTAACACGGCAAGGACATTTTTTTTTTTTTTGGAGAAAATTCTTCATTTCCAATTCTATTTTCAGAAATGGCCGTAGAAACATCGACATGATTAAATCTATATGCTTCGTGGAGAAGATTCTGCGAAAGTCGGAAAACGATAAATCGATTCAGGTGATCAGTATGTTTTCGAAACGGCCACGATGAAGGGTGACAACAACACTAGCGACATGATTAGGATTACTATCGAATTTTCGCTCAGCTCTAAAATTAAAGAGAAAAAATCAATTATTATCAAACTCTCGTGCGAACACGAAGGTGTTCGACAGAAAATGGTAAGGTAATTTAATGTGTACAATGGCTGCTTTCTGAAACGTCGCTCAGATGCTTCCGATCCCTTGGATTCATCATCTTGTCCTTGTTTAACATTAATATTAATTCATGAGAGCCATCTGAGCGATGTTTCCAAATGCGGCCACTGTTTCTAATAAAGAGAGAGAGAGAGAGAGAGAGAAGAGGAAAAGTTTTATTATATAATATTAATTTAATATGTGTACAATGTTTCTAATATATATCAAAAGAGAGGGGAGATTAGAGAAAGAGAGAGAGAGAGAGAGGGGGGGAGGGAGAGTGGAAATGAAAGAGGGGGAGAGAGAGGGAGGGGGAGAGAGAGGGAGGGGGGAGAGAGAGGGAGGGAGATAGGGAGGGAGAGAGGAAGAGAGAGGGGGGAGAGAGGGAGATAGAATTTTGTCACAAATTTTATTATATTTCGCAGTACATTTCTATTCAACAGAAAGATTAAGATAATTATTTTTGGGTAATGAGTGTTTAAAATTAAACGATTTTTATAAGTTAAGTATAAGAAAGCGAATGTACATACATGCATTACTTTGTATTTAAAGAAATAGAAAACATATTCTTCATTTGTTTCAAATCTTGAAACGTTCTACTACACAAATTTTATGTAGATCTTACGTAAGCCATTATAACACAAATAATCACGTGCTTGTTAGATTAAAATTCCACTTGTTTATCTTAAATAAATTTGTTACAGGACACACAAGCAGGTCTCTTTCACATTGAAATGTCGATGATGTCAGATACTTTGGATAAAATGAATAAGTTGTTAGGGTCAAAGCACCGCTTGAGCGGGAAGATTCTCTACATGCAAAATGATAATCCAATGCTTCTGGTGATCGAAGATCTTGCGTCTCTCGGCTTTCGAATGGCCGATCGTATATATGATCTTGATTTAGATCATTCTATATTGACACTTCGCGAAATTGCCAGGTTTCATGCAGCCTTCGTAGCCCTATGCGAGAAGGTAAATCACGCGTGACTCCACAATCTGTTATAACGTCTCGTTGCAATTATTAAGAATTCGAATCAATGGCACAAATGCAAGAATCATTCAGAGTTCAAATTTTCACGTTAATATTAAATACAAGAATTATTTGTGGAATCAATGGGACATTTTGGTTGTATTTTATGAACATCGCATTGTGAAAAATTTGTAGAGTTTTAGGATCACGTGCAATGCGTCTATAAAAGTCGTAGCGGTCGTAGGGTCTTAAGTCGTAGAAAATTGACCAATCACAGTCGAATATGAGAAGAATAATCAACTGTGATTGGTCAATTTTCTACGACTTAAGACTCTACGACCGCTACGACTTCTATTATAGAGACCTCACATTACACATCTTATGCGGGGTCTACAATAGAAGTCGTAGCGGTCGTAGGGTTTTAAGTCGTAGAAAATTAACCAATCACAGTTGATTATTCTTCTCATATTCGATTGTGATTGGTCAATGTTCTACGACTTAAGATCCTACGACCGCTACGACTTCTATTGTAGACCCTGCATTATATAATCCTACAGAGAAGTAATTTATAATTATAATATTAAACACAAGAGTTCCATTTTAATATTGTATTCAACTTAAAATGTTGCGCTTTTTGTCGTATATAATTTATTTAGAAGGACTTCGCTGCGTTCATTTAGCGATAGTGCCACGTATTGGTCGCAGGTGAGCGGTTTTATTGCTGAGAGTGTTGTAAAGACGTTTTAAAATGTGTTTGATTTCTGAAAGCCATTCAAAGACATTTCAAAAAAACATCTTTAAGATCAGAGTTGCTGTAGCGTATAAAGCGCCATTGTGCAAAGGAAATTTCGTTGCCTAATTCCTATGCATTTTATTTAGCAATCTTTTAAAATTAAATACTTTTAATATAACTTTTAAATATTTTTAGAGAGGATGCAGTTTTTCAATTTGTGTTTCTCTCTGATGTTGCTCAGAGTATAGTTTTGAACGTACTGAAAGATTTTAGTATCGCTGGGAAATAAATAAAAAAAACTATCTGATCCGATTAATAATTTCAAATTTTGTACGAATTCTTTTAATTAATACATACAGTATTCGTTTCGAAACAAATTAAATTTGACATAAATGAATATCCGTAAATGTTATCAGGAATGAAACATTTATTTATATGGCGTACTCTCTTGTTAATACACCTTTGCGCAGTACAGTGCACTATTTGTACATCCGCTCAGCGGCTCTAGTAAAAGTCTTCTTAAAGCCATTTTTTTGGTAAAATTTTAAAGATGTTTAGGCTGACTCGTATCTTTCTCCGAAAAAAGATGTGCTCTAAGTTTGTGAAGAAATTATATTGTACATATAAAATTACTATGGAGATTTCTTGTGTAGCTTGATCTGTACCTGCCCGCATTACAAATCTAATTATTGGGGATGCATCGGATTTGCGAAAAGTATTGCTGGATATCTGATTTCTAGCAATATATCCAGTCGAAACTTTATATTGAAATAAAGTGAATAATACCTGAAAACTTTTTATCATCACTCTAATATATTTTTTTAAATGTATTACCGGATATTTGGTAATTGTCCGGAATTCGGGGCCGGATATTAGATATTTGTCATATGTCCTGTACTATATTTCTAAAAAAAATATATCAATGATAAAAAAAAGTTTTCAGATATCCGTATCATTATAGGGGAAAGTTGCCCCATGCGTACTACTTAATCTATTTTTTATTATATTTTCAATATTGGCACTGTTTTGTATGCAAATGAACATTAGAAATTGTAGCTTGAGGTTTTGGACGCTTATTATTACATGTTTAATTTTCTTCAATAACAAATTAATTTACAATGAAAGAACAAGGGCAGTAGGAGTCAAGCGCGGGAGATGTTGCGCAAATAACACGACTATCGTAGCGTGAAACTTCTTTATTTTACTAAAGCGCTTACATGTTTCGGCTCATTTTTGAGCCTTCTTCAGAGATAACTAATAAATTCACATACATAGAATATAACAATTATTAACTAGTCATGGTGATCTTCCTCACCTCGAGAGTATAAATGCCAGAATTAAATCCAGATAAGAATGCAGTAAAAAAGAAAAAAGGGGGAAAGAAATTTTGAAATTCTCGAAATAAAGAAAATGTAAAACTAATGTATCAAAAAATTTTTGAAATTATAATTAATTATTCCGATGGTTAGGAAGCTCACCTTGATCACAAGATACCGCGTCGCAAACATTACTCTTAATACTTCAAAAACCGGTTTCTGATAAGTTGGCCAGTCAGTGTCAGACACAGTTAGTCTCTTATTGATTTAATTGGTCTTTAT